CTATCTCCTGAAAGTTCCTACCAGATTCCCTGCCCAATGGAGACTTTGTCAGAAAGCAAGGGAAGAATTTTAACACTGGGAGAAGTCCATTTCAAGACTATAATTATTTGAAATGGGAAGTCAATCATATTCAATAAATATTGAATGCCTTTATGTGCAAGGTATTCTGTAAGATACTCCATTTTTATTTAGCATTGGTTAAATAAATGGGATAAGGAAAAATAAATCAGTAAGCTTTTTAAAAAAAATCAATAAACATTCATATTTAGTGCTACCTTTTTTAAAAAAGACCTTATTTTGAGTCCTTAACTAGGATACCAATTTTAGATCATAGCAAGAATCATCTTTTGAAATAATATTCTTTAGAAGTGACTAATTACTGCTTTTAGCTATGGCCCAAATCCAGCACAGCAAACTGTAATATTCATAATTAACCCAAGAACCCATTGCATGGGCAAGATCACCACAGATGTTTCTTTTTCTTACTTTGTTACTGTCTTAAGCCTTACCATTAGTTCTTCAGATGTACCATATTTCTGACTAAAGTAGATCTTAGTTAACTCAATTTCACTTCAAACAGTATCATTTGGCAAAAATAATAATAATTTTTAAAAAGCCTGAACCACAAATTATAATAGCTATCAGTTTGACTAGGTGAGCCAGGCACTGCAATGGCATTTTGTGAAGCACGCCATACAACTTTCATAGTGTCTCCCTCCTACAAGTAAAGAATGGATAAGCAAAGATTTTGACAAAAGAGTTGAGAGAAAAATGCCAGTCTGCTTATTCTGCAGGCTTCCAGTAACATAGCAATTCTAGTATCTGCTCTCCCCTTCTAAGGCCAATAGAACTCTATATGGCAAAGGATTCTCTACAGAAAAGAAGGTTGGAGGAAGGAAGAAAATGAGAACATTCACCTCTGATTTGTTTCTGGAAAAAGGCTTTCCCATCTACTTCTCCAAAAGTGACACAAGCAAGTCAGAGGATAAGTTTCAGAAAATGAGCTCCCACAACTCACTATAATAATCAAATTAATTTTCAAGGAATGGTTTTTTAAAAATCAAGAACAGAGAAAAGAAAAGTATGCTTCAAGGAAAGAATCTCTTAGTATCATTAAATCTCATAATCAATGAATACAATGAGTACAATTGTGGAAGACCTTCAAAACCATCATATTCACCTGGAATTTGTACTTGACAGCAAGCTTTCTTGCCAGCAGTGCTGCCTCACAGGGTGGACATAGAAGGTTATCGATGAAAAAACAGAAAGTCCTATAGGACAGAAGGCAGACACATTTGTTTGTTAAACTCAACTGACACCTTTAGCACTGAAAAGCCATTCCTCTGTTGAAGAATGCTAAGGCTTTCATATAATAAAAACAAAACAAAAAACCCCACCACCACTGAAGGATAGGACAAAACATAGAATGTCCACTGCATTCTCTAAAATCATTGTTTTCCTAACAGGTCTGACATACTCTGACATGCTCAACCTCATAAGTTTATTCAATCCTTTTCAAGGATGAAGATAATAAAGGAGATGAGCACCTAACATGTTAAGTGCTTCTAAGAGACAAAGTGCAAAACCTGGGGAAAATGGCATGACAAAAAGGAACACAGAGAGATGCCTTTATCAGTTTCTGTCTTTTCATAGATCAATGGGGGTAACTGAGTCTGAGTAGGGGTGGGAGGCAGCTGAGTCTGTGATAAAGGGAATTCCCTGGAAGAGCAAATTCCCTCCACTACTGCAGGTCAGCAACTTCTCTGTAACTTAGAGCCCACTGGAGTCTTTGAAAGTTTCTCAAAAAACAACCAGAGAGACAGATTTGGACATTAAAACCAATCGTCACAAAATTACTCATGTTAATGTCTTAAGCTTCAGCATAAAGAATAGCCTACAAAACAAGAGAAGTTAAATGTCATTATAGTAATGGTGAACTATCTGGGTTGATTTAATTATTTTATTTGGAGGCAATGTTGATCAGGAATAAAGAATTAAAGAGTAAAATCACGCCATTACTGAATTTCAGTAGGTAGGACTGTTTATTGGTCAATAAAAAAAAGAAAAAAAGTTCTTGAACATAGGGCAAAGAAAACACTAATTAGCTATACTTTAAAGTCTTCTGGGATAACCTCCATCAAAACAAGGGGGCATCCATGAGTGACTTGGCATGTGGCAAAGAGTTTAGATAACTTTCTCCAAGTTGTACTAAGTACTAGTGGTTCTATCAAATAGTCCTTTCTCATTACGTGTCCAAATATGGGATAGTCTCTGAGCAAGCTATAGTCTCAAGGTGAAGCCTAACAATCTAATCCAGGTATTCCAATCAAGCCATAAACTGGGGCAGCAAGAAATGCAGTAAAGGAATTTCTCACTTTATTAAAATCAGGCCTGTATTTCCCACTCATTTCACAAGAAACATCTTTTCCACAAAGCCTTCTCTAATCACTATAGTCTACTGTGCTCTTTATTTTCTCTGAAATTCCATGATGTTTATTAACAGGCAATTTAGTAATTATTCTCTAATTGTTTCATTTGTGTTTTGTTCCCCTAACTAGGTTTCACGCTCCTTGAGAACCAGGGTTCTATACTACACTTATTTTTCTTTTTAAACCTTCCATTTAGTAGTTCATCATGGGTCTTCTATGCTGGGTCACAGAGCAGTCAGGATTCAACAAATTGTGGCAAGTGAAAGGCAGAGTGCAGCAGCAGCTAGAGTGCTGAACTTGGGAGTCAGGAAGACCTGACTACCTCTGACACTTAACTGTATGATCATGGGCAAATTTTCTCAACTTACTTGAGGCCATTTTTTTTTTTTGTGAGGCAATTCAGGTTCGGTGACTTGCCCAGAGTCATAGCTAGTGAGTGTTTTATGCGTCTGAGGCCAAATGTGAACTCAGGTCCAACTGACTCCAGGGCCAGTGCTCTATCCACTGCATCACCTAGCTACCTCAAAGCCATTTTTTCTTCATCTGGAAAATGGGATAGTGATTACCTGAATGAGATGATATAGTAAAGCCCTTAAATAACAGAGACTGAGCCTGGTGACATTTGACAATAGGGAAGAGAATCTATCCTTTCCTAAAGATGTTAAGTACATTGACTGAGTAATTATGTGTGAGTCTTTCTCTTTATTCCTGGCAAACAACCTAATAACTAAAATCCTTTTTCCCTTTTATATTTTCACCAGTGTATTAATTTAAAAACAGCTTCCTAATTAGTAGTAAAAACTAGCCCATCAAAAGAGATGAATGATTAGTAAATTTCTATGCTCAGGGCAAGTCCTCTAAAAAAATTTGCTACTATTTTTTTCCTTTTCATTTCCAAATTTTAACAGACTGAGCCAAATTAAAGTCCTATAATTTTAAATTTAAGCTCTGTTAGGAAATGTTGGAGGAATGGATCTTTGAAATAGAATTGACTAACATAATTAAAAACAATCTTCCCAAGTTATAAAAACTCTTGTCTTTCAGTAGGTGCTTCCTGGATCAAATTAAAAAATATTTCTTTTCATCTTAAATTCTCCTAAACTCACTTTCCCTACCAGCTCTCAATTAATTCCTCTGGCCTGGCTTATTTCTCAAGTGTGTTCCCTTCCCAACCCTCTCCCTCCCCCAACCCTTCCCACCTATTAAATACCCTCCCATCTTGCCCCAGTGTATTGAAGAAAATAACCATTACTATCAAAGTAGTTGAACTGTTGTGTAAAGTTATACTTTTGTGAATCTGGATGCTGACCCCACAAATGCTTTTCCCTGAAGATCAAAGCAGGCTAGGAAAAGCATCAAACTAGAGGAAGTAAATACTGTAAGAGGACTGTGTTCAGACATTTTTAAGTATGTGTCTGGATTATAGATTCTTTATCTCTGACCCCCTTCCAGTTACCACTTAAACCATTTAACACAACCATTTAGTGTAATTCATATAAACCATTTCTTCTCAGCAAACCCCCTCCCAGAAACAGTACTAGGACAAAACAAAGGGCTTTTATAGTCACAACATTCTCTCCCTTTTCTTTGTCCAGAGAGAGACTCAAAGAGCAAGGGAAAGTCTTGAAAGAAGCCAAAATGTACAACCAATGTGCTTCTTTCTCAACCCACTGTAAAGAGTTCCACCATAACCCAAACCCTCACAGCTAAATCATAGCTTTCCTCTTTGCCTCCAAAATAGCCAAAAATCACTATTTTTTCTTAGTTCAAACAATCTTGAAGGCAAAAAAGGCATAAAAAATAAAAGTGTATTAATTTTAAGTAGAGCAGCAACAAATTTTTCTGGGATTGGAGAAATGCTAGATGAAGTACATGCTCCACAGGGGGAATGTAGTTCTGTCCTCTTATTGGAGCCCTAACACCCTCAGGATGGTTACGTCTCTACTGTGAAATAAAATAATTCAATGACCATATTCTGAACTTCAAGGCTAAAGTGAGCTTAGGAAGAGGGAATCTCTTTTCAGTTTTTTACCTCCAACCCTCTCTTCCACCCTCAAGATTCACTATACTAAACAGAAATAGTCACCCGAGAATGACTGAGCTTTTACCAGGAAGCCTGGAACATCTGGCTGGGTATTTTTCTTAAAAAGGAGACTATCAAAGGAACTGGGCATAGGGGTCAATGGGTGATTTACCAGAGAACATTTCACACACTTAGCTGTCACTCTGCTCACAAATCTGTACCTCACAAGTGGATCTACTTCACCGGTCTTTCCCCTAGTCCTAGAAGACACCCTCACCTTGTGCCACCTGAAAACTCTTCTCTAATCCAAAACCGCCATTTCTTCCTGTGTACTACTGATAATACACAGTGCTTCTCCTTAGTTATTAACAAGTGCTCATATCTAAGGCCTTCCAACATATTATTTGCAGAGATTATCAAGAAAGTTGTGTTTTTGCAAGGAATCAGAAGCTGCTGGTAAACCTGTGGATCCTGTGCAAAAACACCAAAGTGGTGCTGTTTAGTCACCAATCTGGATAGATAACTCTGACTCAATGCATACAGGAAACTGTAATTATATAAATATATTTATAAATATTTATACAATTATATACTTATACATAAGCACTTACACAGACTTATGAAAATGTAAGGACATTCATTTGTAAAGATCCATTAAAGAATAAACAGATTTTCCCATGATTTCCTATAGAAGACATACATTTCATTCTTTAGTGAGGGTGCCTCACCAATCAGGCATTAGAAATCACATTCCACAATTGTGTACTAACAAAGGATAATCCCCTCCTCCTTTATCCCTTGGGTGCTAAAATGTAAGATCTCTTAAAATAGACAGGAAGCCTAAAAGACTCTGAAAATATATCTGAATTTGGGTTACAAGTTAAAGTTTGTCTTTATTTCCAACATTAGCAATTTATTTTTTTCTCTAAGGTGCAGAAATGAACCAGCCTAAATAACAGTGACAAAACTGGGTACACACTATATTATGATCTCTATACAGACTTAAAGTTTTAGTTCTATTGGCATCTTCACCCCAGTCCCTACTTTACTTTCCTGCTAGTTCAAAACAAGAAAGGGATAAGTGAATGGTGTTGCATTCATTTAAAATAGATAACTTCTTCTCTGGAACTAAATATCAAATTCTCACTTTTCATACAATTAAATGAGGCTTTCGGTGGCAGGAAAAAATACAAGTGTTGGAGATTACTAAGAGCAGTTTTTCTCACTCCAGTTATTAAATGCTGCTTTATGGACTGAGTTTAAAGTTGTTCTCTTAAGAGATGCTTTCAGTTCTGATGCCACTGAACATGCTTTGGCTGTAGTAGGTGATGGCAGAACCAAAATACTAAAGTAGCTCAGCTCACTTAGTCGTATAACCTCTTAAAAAGACTCTTTTACCCTGGGGTCAAAATGAATTTGGATTATTCCTGACTAAAGAAACCCACCATTCAGAGTTACTTCTTTTTCTCTTTTCTCTGAGGCAGCCCTAAAGCACCACAGATAAGATCAACAGCAAGACCAATTTCTAATTTACAGTTACCATTTTACTGCATGATTGTAAAACTACAACTAAAAAAAAAAAGAGCAAAAAACAAAAAAACCTCCTGCCATTCTTAAACCTTTTGTTGGACCCAGAAAATGGAAGAAGCCAGGAAATGTTATGCTGTCCTAAGAGTAAACAGATTCCTTTTCCCAACACAAGAAGTTTTTGAAATGATAGAAAATCTTAAGATATCATTAGCTTGAAAATGGGCATAAAGGATTCAGTAATTTCCCTGAATTACTATTCACCCCTAGTATGTTGGTATCAACGGCTTCCATAAAATAATTTCAAATAAAAAGCAATGGACAAAACTAAGGCAGGAGTGTTGAAAATCCTAATCTATCTCATCCCATATTTGACAATCAAATTCCCAACAGCACATATACCAAGGACCTATTCTTCTACAGGAGAGATGACAGAAAGAGAAATTTAAATTTTTTTTTTTTGACAAACTATCATAAGGAGTGCTTTTCTCCACATAGGCAAAAGCCTGGGTATTTTGTCACATGATACTTCTTACACAGAACTCAAAAAAAAAAAATGAAGACACCTTTCTTCTCCCAAGAATAAAGAATAAGATGGGTTTGGGAGGTGGTTCCTTTTTTTTTTTTTTTTGAATCTGGCCCTTCCTCTGCCACAGGAAACCGAGGTCACATTATTTTTCTTATTTCCAGAGAGTGATGCGCAAGACAGCATCCCTCTTTCCCAAATGGAACAAGCATTTCCTGCCACCGGTATTAGGACAGATGATATACTTAGGTCTTCATTTGGTCACCAGATTAGGAGGAAAAAGGAGGAGAGGGAAGGAAGGAGGAATGACAGAAGACAGAGGGAAAGATGCTGTGGAGGAGAGCCCAGACAAAGAAGAGAGCAGGCGGGGGCCATGTGCCCAGTTTGGCTCTGTGGTCCTAGGAGCCAAACTGCAAACTCAGGGACGCAGTATCCCAAGTAAAAGGACGAGGGGCAGCTGAGAGAGGTCAGGCCACGGTGCTAATTTCTTTCCTGTACAAAGACAGTCTCTTGAGGACAGAGGCCTGCCTCTTGTAATGTAATGTCATAGTCAAGATGAGAAAGCTTCCTTCGAGGGAAGTTGGTGAGAAGTTCAAAACGTTCATTTGGGTATCCTTTTGACTGCACATGCTTCACCAGAGCCTAGATGGGGAGGGGGGGAGAAAGAGAGAGAGAGCATAAGCATTGGATGAGGACAGAAACAACATTTAGCATGTAATGAATCAGAAACAATAATGCCTCATTTCATACAGTACTATTAGGGAATTTCCCTGGTAACTGAAAGTATTCCAAGTGCCAAAACTTTGAGAAATAATTTAACCCTCTTTTCAAAATAAAAAATGAAAGCCAGAGTAAAGGAACTCTGTTTCAAACAGCTCTTCATGAGTCAGCCATCTTTATGAGTATTAATTACCATTCTGTATTATAATACAAACAATGATTTTACTAGCACTGAGGTATGTAAGGGTACTTGCCCCTAAAGCAAATAACCCTATTCTGCTATGCTTTAAATTGGTGCATATTTTAAAAATATTTTTTGTTCCCCTCTCGTCTGCCTATAATTTCTTGCTGCTGTCAGTACACCCCTTTCTAATAGTCCCTCCCCCTTCAAAAAACAGTGCTTCTAATTATGTATTAGCTACTTAGCCCTATTATTATTCTCTAGGGCAGATATACCAAGTGTGTTAAAGTTACACTGAGGTACCTTAAGAGATGAGAGTCAATGCAAATTCATTTCTGACAGGAACTTCCTAGGATTTATACTTATATCTGAAGGTGAAAAAAATCAGTCAGATGACCTCTTGACCAATCTACATATCAGATTACAGTAAACTATGATTACCTTAGATAAACTAGATAAAAATATTCTTTGGATAATTACCACCTCAGTTCCATCTGCCTCAGTGGTTCCTCTATTAACCATAGCTATAGCATAAAAGAAGAGCTGACCTTTAACAAAAAGCTAAATCCTGAGACTAATGACCATGTTCTTTTCTAACAAACAATGGCATCTCGAGATTGTTTTAAAAGGTATACTGGAAAACTAACACAATGAAAGCATACTGAATTAAGATTCTAGGAGGTAATGAAGCATAGTAGAAAACAAAGACACACGTTGTGGGGATGGATCTACCATATACTAGCTGATCTTGGCCAGGTCACCAGCCACCTCTTTGAGTTTCAATAAAAATAAGAGGATATTACTTACCCTTTCTATCTCACAGGGTTGTTGTGAAGGCTGAATGAGAATGTATCTGAAAACCATCAAGTTATAGTAACATAAGGTATTATATAGAATCTGAGATTAATAGCTGATGCCAAGGAGTCCAGTGAGCTCCCAGAACAGATTCCCAATTTTATTATGAAGAAAAGCTGTTTCATTTCTCAATGAAATGATTGGGGTTAGGGATACAAAGACAAAAACAGTCCTGGCCCTCCAGGAGTCTCCCTTACTGAAGACAGTAAATTTAAGACTTCTGCTCAGTTTTCTCTCCTTTCCACCACTTCAAGGACTACTATGATGATGCAATAATAAAATAACACATTTCAAAAAGTAGGAACAAGTGGTGATTTTAATATTAAAGACTGTGGGTTACAACTTTGGATGAACTATCTCAAAACCCAAACTAAAGTATGATGAGGAAACCAAAGGGAAGATTATGAGATTTTAAACTACTTGCTCTTCTTCAGTAGCAATTAATAATAGTTTATATTTATGTAATACTTTATAAAGTGCTTTTACATACATTCTCTCATTTGATCCCCACAACCACCTTTTGAGGTAGGTTCTGCTAATATCATTATCTGCATTTTCAGAGGTTAAGTCCCTTACTCAACAACACAAGAAATTCTTGTGCCACTCTAGGGGTCTGACTCTTCCCCTGATGTCACTGCCACTTGTGCCATCCTCTTCTGGGTCTATTGTGACAGAACCACTTTCTTCTGTGGCTGTCTTTGTGCTAAACACTTTGTTTATGTCCCTGCTCTAACTCTAAGACAAACAAATTGTCTGGGCTTCAACATTAGCTGATAAATCTCAATGACACACCTCAAAGCCTTCATTCTGGATAGGAAAACTCTCTGGGCCAACTCCAGTTCTACCACCTGACAATATTACCTAGTAAGAAGAAGGGTCACAGGAAGGGTGCCTACTGAGATGCCTGGCGCCTCCACCACCATAACACAGCTACAGTACTCTAACAGCCCTGAGGTCCTGATGAATCAGGAAAGGTCCCTAGTTTCTACTGCAGACCTCAGGAGTGGCCTTGTCTTTAAGAGCCACCAAAATAAAACTGGAGGGCTCTTAAAGACACAATACAATCCATCAAAGCTCCTGAAACGGGGATGGGTAGGGCTATATCCATACCCAACAAAATCTGAGTTTCAATGTGCTTTCATTAAGGAAATTGAAAGGAACCATCTATTCCACTTTGGTTTTCCTACATATCAGAGTTGGGGCCAGGTAAAGAATGGTGCTAAGCTCTAAAAGGCTTCTCAGGATTTTGACAATCATGACAATAGGATTATATGACAGTAATGGTTAAAAAAAAGGGGGGGCATGCCAGCAGAAGGGCCATGGCAATGTTAAACTCTAATTTGAATTTTTTTTTTAATTATTTTTAGGCAGTTGGGGTTAAGTGACTTGCCAAGAGTCACACAGCTAGTTAAGTGTCAAGTATTTGGTCTGAGGCCAGATTTGAACCAGGTCCTCCTGACTTCAGGGCCAGTGTTCTATCCACTGTGCCACCTAGCTGCCCAGCAATGTTATAATCTAAGAATGGAAGAGAATAACACCAGTGGCAGACACCAGAAAATACCCCAAATTGTAAAATAAAAGTCACTGGAAATGCAACCTTTGACAAATCAGGATATTATAGCACCTAAAATTAATGTCTAAGGAACTAAAACCTATATAATTTCCACTACCTTTTGTAAAATATATTTTAGGAAATATGTAAATCTTTAAAATTCCTTGCTAATAAGAAGTCTCCATTTAAGAAGAACCATATTGATGAGCTAAAAGCAACTAAGCTTCCATGTTCCTTAAACTCATCATTTTGATTAAGTAATTTTGGTGAAAACCATACTTCAATTTTAAATTTCCTATCTAAAATCTTTTCTGAGGTTTTGATGGGGGAAAGAGATTTGATAAGAGGTCACTTAGTTATGTGCTGAAAAAAGAAAAGTGAACAGAAAGAATGGCCTTCTCTAACTAACTTTAGATTTCAAAATACACAAAGAAGAAAATAATCTCAGCTCCTCTAGTACAGAAAGAAAACCTAGATCTGTTTCTAAAACTAGCCTGTTTTTCCCCCATATGAAATTAAATGAGTGACTTAGGGTTCACTTTTATAAAATCTAATGTTAACAAGGCCTTCTTTGCCTTGGCTCCTTTACAGATCAGAAAATGGCACACTTCAGACGATTTGCCAGTCATTCAGCAAATCAAGGGGAATGCCACTGTTAGGATTTGCCACTTCTGCTTTCAGTTGATAGGCAAGACTGCCTCAAGTGCCTAGAACAGTACTATGAACATACATCATTTATTGTTGCTTCTGATTGTTTCAAAGGAGCATCAAAGAACTGCTCTTCTAATTAGATAACTTCTCTGCCTCATGTAAAATATTCTAGTTAATTCTACTTACTAGAAGTTTAGCTTGTTCTGGAAGAGTGATCTGTTCCCTCTTTCCATCTGGATACCTCAACATCAGCTGTGCTTTTGGTCCTAAATAAATAAAAGATATGACAATACAAAGGGAACATAGTAAGATATGAAGACAAATGGTTTAGCATAATGTTCATGTTTTAAGAAACTAAAGTTAACTCACCATTCATTTCCAGCCCTTCTGAAAGCCCATCTGACTTCTCGGGTAACACCTCCAATATTTCAGAATCCATGCCTGACAGTGCTTGGTGGTTTGTTGCAGTTCCAGGCTCAGTCCTAGCTGAGGGCTCAGTCTGAGGCCTCCGGCTCTCCTCTTTCCTATGCAATAAGTCTTTGTGGGGAGATTTCCTAGATTTGGCAGGATTATTCTCTACCTCCTCTTCCTCATCAGAACCACAAACTGATATGAATTCCTCACTTCCAGAAAAAAGTTCAGATTCAGACTCTTCATCTGAGCGGCTGTCCTGTTTTGCCTGTGTAGAATCAAAATGTGTCTCTTGCAAGGAGGCTCTGATAGCAGCTTCTAGCTGGCTGTCTTCACTTGCATCTATAAGGCTCTCCTGCCAGGTGCAGATGAGACATAAGTGAGGGGAAAAACACAATTAATAAACCCTAAAACAGCCAATCAAATTAAAAAGAACATGAAAAATGCAGCAGCCAAGATGTCAAGAATAATATTTTAACCTGGAAAAACTTTATATGGTCTGATGCTGAGTGAAGTGAGCAAAACCAAGAGAACATTGTACACAATAACAGCCATGTTGTGCGATGACTAACATTGATAAACTTAACCCTTCTCAGCAATACAAGGATCTAAGACACCTCCAGAGGCCTCATGATGGAAAATGCTATCCATATCCAAAGAAAGAACTATGGAAGTTGAATTGCTATCTTTTGTTTTTCTCTTCTGTTGAGTTTTGTCTCCACTTTCTGATGGTTCCTCCTATTGGTTCTAATTCTTACAACATCACTAATGTGAAAATATGTTCAATAAGAATGTACATATATAGCCTATATCAGATTGTGCACCATCTTGGGGAGGGTGGTGGGGAGGAAGGGGGAGAAAAATTTTAAACTCAAAAGCATATGGAAGTGATTGTTGATAAATCAAAATAAATTAATTTAAAAAAAAAGAATAATATTTTACTCTAAAGCAAGAGGACAACAACCTTTGCCTACCTCCTTGGAATGAGCTCCAACCAAAAGAACATTTTCATTTCCCATTCTAGTGTCCCGCCCTGCCCCCCTCTCCGCCCCCAACCAGTAGGAGGACTGTTGCGGGTAAATGTTACAGATTTTGGCAGATGAGGAACATTTAGTTACTGCCTCAACTGTTGATATTAGCAAGTCATTCTGTGAATTTTTTACAGATTAGTAAAAAGTTTAATATTCTAAAACAAGACAACGAAATCCTCTACTTAAATGCCAAATTGAATTCCTCAAGCACACTTAAACTTATAGAATTGTTATAACTCTGTCCTACAATTTCTTGTAGCTATTGATTAGTCAAGGTAGGAATGACAATTTCCTACTATTTTGTACCTTCCTCCATGATTTCACAAGCCTAAAAATACTACTTTTTGGGTTAATTATCCAACAAAACTTTTAACAATTTGGTATGTTAAGGTGATCAGGAGAGCCATCTAGTCCCAAAACTTGGACAAATAGGAGTCACATTATATTACCTCAGATTGGATTTCCAATTTTTCTTCTAAAGCCTTATAATTGAAAGGGATATGATTTATACATTCCTCACTACTGTTCTCTTTAATTCCCACCCCCATCTCTTTGATTTTTTAAGAAGGTATTTGGGTTTTGAAGAGAATAACGAACTTCCAACAAGTCTCGTCCCAATAAATATTTATATTTGGATCATCAGAAATGTAGGCTACTAAAGTTTTGATAGTGATGATGACAAAGTCTTACTATATGTATGAGTGAAATTTTGCTCAAAAAGAATAGAAAACAAACCACAAAACAGAATGGAGGAAAAAGACTGATATCAGCTGTGATCTTTTCCTAAGACTCACAAAGTTTCTTGCTGACAAGGTGAGAAATTTTTTTAGAAGATGAAATCACTAATAAAGCATTGGTTTGATAGACCATAATTTCATCTATGGCAGTGCTTACATATAATTAATACAATACAATAAGCATCTTATATAAGATGTTAAGTTTGTGCTTAGAGTTCCCTGAACCCTTATACTTACAGAGCGGCCACATTTTTTGGGGGGAATGCTGGACAGTCCATCCAATTGACCATGCTCACCCAGGAATCCTGTCACTTGATCCAAGAAAGAAGTCACGTCTAGCTGGTGCCACTCCACTAGCTTCTGACCTGAAGAAGAAAAACTAAGATATGAAACAGCATTTATGTTCAACACTTTTCCATGTGAACAATCTTACAATATGAGGCCTTTGCAGAATATAAACTGATGCTGAAGAAAAATTTCTTTATCTTAATATAGCACCATCAAGTATTACAAAAGTATGAGGCAGTAATTACTATTACAACTGATCATACAGGCCACGGCAGAGAGATGCAGACACTGCATCAATAAAAATCCAGGTATCATGGCCTTTGGATAAGAAAAGACACAGCATCAGCTACCATTAGGTATATTAACTGATTGACCGCCACTACCATGCCAGATTCATTTACCTGCTACCATTTAGTCATCTGGAGCTGGAGACAAAAGACATCACCTTTCCTCCATTCATCTTTAGCCAGGTAAGTGGTCCCCAATGAGTCACACTGACTGAGCTGAGGAGGTGTTTATTCATTAATAGAACAAAGACCTACTTGGTTCAAAAATGATTCTTTTCCTTGGAAAAGGAGGAACTGACCTCCACTGACCTTCAGATAGGGCAGAGCTGTGAATGCAGAAAATAAGACATTTGCCTCTAATCTTCATGGGGAGGAACTGAAGAGCAAAGGAGTATGTCTGGAGGTCCATATTACCTGCCTAGAGTTTCAAGACACAGGTCTTTTGCTCTCTTTTCTGGATCTTTTGTTCTTACTGCTCTTGCATTCTAGCAGGCCAAGTGAGCCAAGCTATTTTTCCCTGTGTCTTCTCTTTTTTGTCTTCTGGAGGATGGACCAAGTATTTCGGTGTCTCAATTCTCTGAGGGTTGTAGCAGAGAGAAGGCTGCTCTTCTAGTGGGCATATCAAGAAGCAGGCAGGGATTTTTCTCTCTCAGTTGAAGTTGAAAACTCTGTGTGGCCTCATGTCAAGGGAGGCTCAGTGGGGTCCAGGAAAGGTACTCATTGCCATCTTCCTTTCAAAAGGAATTATGAATTATGTATATGTAATGCTTTTAGAATTATTGTGAAGGATTTTATCTTCACATGAGCCATTTTTAAAAGATTTGACAATATAAACTGAATTAGGCATTTCACACCTGATAGTCATACAAGCGTGGTAGTCTGTGTTAAATACCTTTCTTGAGCAAAATTGTATTTATTTAGGCTAGTTAATCTAGCCACTGTCAGCAAAGACCCCAGGTGAAAAAGTACATGCTCTTCACAGATTTGGGATACGAATGCAGAAATAATAGTTTCTGACAGAGGAATGCAGGTAGTCAGATAACTAGTTCTGAAAATGGAGGAGTACCATTAACATAAGATAATATGTCACACATAGAGGACCTATGCAAATGTTTCTAGTAATAAACTTAAAGGTTCATTCTTAGATTACTGCAACTAATAAAACTTGTAAGCAGGACATGCAATATGGCTTCTAACCCCACTAGATTCAAACTGCTCTCTCAAAGGCCACTGTTTACCCCTCTATGGCTAAATCTGAAAGGTTTTTCTCAGCCCTACTCCCCTATCAGCACATTCTCCTTATTTTCTCTTCTCCAGTTTCTATGACACTGCTCTTTCTTGGCTCTTCTAACTTGTTCCTCCTCTTGACACCCAAGTATGACCTCTGTCCTAGTCCTTCTCTATGCATACTGTCCCCCTAGTCCCATGGACTCACATGATACCACTATTTGGTACCTTCCTAAACCTTTAAGGTACTAATACCTCTCCTAAACTCCAGTCTTATCTGTCAAGCTGTCTAGAAGGACCCTCTACTTGGATGTTCTACCAGGACCAGCCTAAGTACCGTCTAACACTGAAATGATCTTCCTTTTAATGTTTCCATTTCTGCTAAGGATACCTTTCTTTACCCTCATCCTCAGTCACTCAGACTTAAAACCTTGGGGGTCATCTCTGATCCCTTCTCTTTTCTCCTCCCCCAACATCATCCAATCAAATGTCAACTCCTATCTCTTCACATCTCTCCCATCTACCCCCTTTCCCCACTCATATAACCATTACTTCACTACAATTTAATTCCTTATCACTTCCTGTCCAGACTATCACAAGCTTCTTGATGCCTTTAAGAATCCTTCCCAAACTTTCAGCTACCTAACAAGTTAGTATTCTCTCCATTCTCAGCAATGTCTAAAACTTTCTAGCACTTTCTCTGGAGTTCTCTTTTGTACCATCACTACCTGTTTTACATTATGCCTGAATACAAGGCATATCCTTTTCCCAGTCCCCAGCCCACTCCCACCACCCTCTGCAGAATATCAGCCATTTAAGGACAAGAACTATGTCCATTTTAATCTTGATTTCTGAGTACTGAGCACAGTATCTTGCGTGTAATAAATGTAATTACATACAAAGCGTGTAATAAATGCTTGTTGCCCTGAAAGACTTGATAAATTTATGCTTATCTTACCTGTCCTTGGATCCAAGATGGAGACGTAGGGAAAATCCCCTAATTTGTAAAACTGTATGTATCTCTGTCCTTCCTCACTGTCATGATATACCTGTCAAACCATAAGACATGAAATAGCTAACTAATATCAAACACAAATTACCAACTGCTACTTTGACATACAATGAAAATCAGCAATTCTCAAAAAGAAAAGAAAATAGGGATAAGGTTTTAGAATTGAAAAATTCAAGACACTCACAACCAAAATGGGCAGAGATATGGGGAGGATGCTTATAAGCAGCACTAAGATAGACCTTTAAATTAACATTTACATAACATAACATAAAGGTTACAGAACCTTCATACGATTTATTTAAAATCAATTAAGGAATTATAAAGCTGGAAAGGACCTTGCTTTAAAGCAGTGGCATCCAACTCAGATTCCTGCAGTCCACGTACTGATATATAAAACCATAAATTAACATTGTTGCTATTTAATCATGTCCAACTCTGTGACCCCTTTCTGTGGTTTTGGCAGAGATAACTGGAGTGTTTGCCATTTTCTTCGCCAGTTCATTTTACAGATGAGGAAACTGAGGTAAACAAGATTTAAGTGACTAGCCTAGGATCACAGAGCTAATAAGTGGCTGAGGCTGGACTGGAACTCAGGTTTTCCTGACTCAAGGCCAATACTCTATCCACTGGCACCAACCTAGCTGTGCCATTAACATTATCTATGACATATTTTTATATTTATTTTGTTAAACATTTTTGAATTATATTTTATTCTGGTTCTGGCTGCCCTTAGGAGTAGGGCCCCTGTGGCCAGTGACTCTTGAGTTAGGCCCCTCTGATCCTGTGTTTTACATATGAGAACTATGAGGATCAGAAAGGTTAAATGATTTGTGCAGGCCACAAAGGTACTAAGAGAGATGGGACTAGAATTACAGTTCTCCTGATTCTTAGTCTAGTGTTCTTTTTGCCAAGAGAGTAAGGTAATTTTGGTGAATGACTGAGTATACCTTATTTCTCTCTTTCCCTGCCCCACTCATAGGCTTTATTCAGCTATCATGGTATTTCAGCCATGGTAGCAGGGTTGGTTTTAATTTATAAAACGAAATTCACAATCAATTTCTGCCACTTCCCTTCCCCTGTAACTCAAGAAAGGAGCTTTCCTAACTCTTCTTGAGCCTCATTCCCACCTGCCAGAAAATGAAGTGTTCCCGGATAATGTTCTTCACAGCTTCATTGCTCCAGACATCCCGATTGAGGCACTGGCAAGCAAAGTCCTGCACATTCTGGATGTTGATCATGAGCCACTTGTTCTGCATCTGACCACACTCTTTGGCCTGTGGAGGAGAGAGTTCCACACTGTGGATTAGAAATGGAATTCAAACAATGTCTGTAATGGCAGCAGCAGGATATTTTGGCACCCGGGGCTTGTTGAGTACCTCCCAGTATTCCCAATCAGAATGGCATCTAATGAGACTTTTTTCAAGAACCACACTCAGGTGAAGGAGAATTTAAGGAGTCTATTTTTAATAATCTGAGTATAACTTATGCATGACTCTAAAACGATGACATTTGTTCGTGCACAGTGTAATGTGTAAATGCCCCAGTAATGAAGTTTTTTTCTCTTATTTACCCATTTATTATGAGCACCAATCTCAGAGCAAGGACAGATTTAGGAAAGGCAAAGAGAGGTAAGGAAAAGGCTCTTAGAAATCTTGGTCTCGGGCACCAATGGCACACAAGCAGAAGTTAGGAGAACACTGAACACATTCCTCTTCAAACCATCTGCTGGCAAATGAGGGAAAAAAAGTCCAGGATGGTAAAGGGCCTCCAAATCATGAACAGATCATAAGATAGCATCATATGAGGACCAGGTGAAGAAACTAGGGATGTTTAGTCTGGAAATTAGAAGATATAAGGGAGAAATAATAGTTGGGTTCAGGTATTTGATAATATTTAAACCTTTTCTGAAAAGAGACTAAGGCTTGATTCATGGAAAAATCTAAGAAACCAGAGCTATTTAAAAGTGGAATGGGATACTTGAGGTAGTAAAAGGTTCTCTCCTCACAAGAGGTCTTCAAGTAAAGACTGGGTTGACCAAGCACAGTTCAGATATGTTGCAGAAGGAATTCTTACTTAGGTAGAGATTTGACTGAGTTTCCTTCCAATTCCAAGATTGCTTTTTTTCACTGGAGAAGAAAGGTGAAGCTACTAGAGAAAATGAGCTTTGGGAACTACCTATCTATGGGTACTACTATCTATTTACTATCTATGGCTTGCATCCCTTATTACCCTATCTCCTGAGAATGAAGTTTTTCACATAAATGTTGGCCTTCAAAAGAATTTGAATATATCACCTAATAATAATGATCACTGACAATACTAGCTTCCAAGAATGTTAATAAAATAATGTGTACTCCAAAAAAAGCAGCATTGCCCAATTCAGCAGATAAAAGCATTAAGAAAAAAATACTCAAAATTTTCTTCACTGTTCTTCTGGGTCATTTTGTTAAAACTTGGAATCTAAAAACTTACAGTTTCAAAGCTGCCTTTATGCATTAGATCAATAGGTGGTCGGAAGAGATCTGCAAGGGTAGTGAGCTTCTTATCTATTGCTCCTCCATTTCTCAACTCCTGCTCCTGTCGAACTGAAGAGACACAGAAATCAAATTTAGTGAAATAGGAAACAGCATTTTTTAGTCTTTCCAATTACATTTTTTAGACAAAAGTTGATGTACTAATTAAGATGATCACATAATTATAATGTACCACATTTTCAAAAGGAGATAGATATATAAAGAACTGCTCTCAATGAAACAAGTAGATTAAAAAAACAAAGGAACTACTGTCCTATAACTGAGTGAAGAAATGAAACCAGATGTTAGCTAAATGTACTGTCAAAACAAAACATTATTTTTAATTAAAAAACTGGCTTTAAAATTGTAGGGTAAAGAAACTGACCACAGACAATGTACCATTCCTTCCACCCCTCTGCCCTCTTTTCCCTTGCTATTTAGTCATCTCCTAAAGAGATGCTGGCTCCCAAATCCTCAGAAGTCCCAAGCTGATAGCAGGTGTATAGCTGATGTCCCTGTCATCCCTGACTGTACTTCAAATCTGGGGACTCTAGCAATAGAAGGTATGAGATAAAGAGTCCCTTTTGTCACTGTCTCCTAGAAGGATATAAAATCCTCCAGTTACTCTGAATGAGTAACTAGCAGGACAGAGCATGGTCAAAAGGTTCCAAATGAATTCTCCAACCATAGTTATTCTTACCCTGAGGTCCCTCGGGCTGTGGCACTGCCCTGCTCCTTCTAAAAGTATATGGACTTAGGCACTTATCCCACAGAAAAGTCAGTCCTGACAACAGTTTGTCATTGTTAGAAAAAAAGGAAGAAAAGGAAAATCATATCTCTTGAAATAAAAGCCACTCTCTAGCTGAAAGAAGCCAAGGGAACTAAGCAGCCTTCTGACAAGACTGACAATACTAGAATAGAAAGCACTGTATTATCATGCTGAACTACATCAACTCTTTATTTTTCAGTTCCTAAATATCTCATCTATTGATCAGACCTTGCACATCTCTCTTCCTCCCTGTCTCTCTCAATGCTATTAGGCCTTTGTAGCCTAATGACTTAAAAATTTAAGCATTTGATCTCTTAACGATGATTAAAAAAAAATTTAACAGGTCTGACCACATACCAGCCACTTTCAGATAGAAGAAAATCACTAAGCAATTCCATTGTCTTAAATATTTAAAAGGATATCATTTTTTTTCCATTTTAAGGAAAAAACACAATACAAAAAAAATCTGAAAACTTTCCCATAGATTTAATAGGGAAAAGACTAAGCTCCTGTTCTGACATTTTATAAAAGCAATTTGCAAATCAAGGATACTCTTGAGTATTTACTGGTAAGCCGACTAATAAAATCTGAGGCTACAACTCTCTGGGAAAAACTCCCTGTTTATTTAGTGCAAGGATTCTTAACTGTTCTTTGTGTTACAGACCCTTTGGCAGTCTGGTGAAGCCTATGGACCCCTCCTAAGAAAAATGATTTTAAATGCATAAAATACACAGGATTTACAAAGGAAACAAATTATATTGAAATAAAGATGTAGTTTCTCCCATTCAAATTCACAGATACCCACTCCCAAAACCTATTATCTATGAACCCAATTTCTACCAATGACAAACTGTTGTCAGGACTGACTTTTCTGTGGGATAAGTGCCTTAGTCCATATACTTTTAGAAGGAGCAGGACAGTGCCACAGCCCGAGGGACCTCAGGGTAAGAATAACTATGGTTGGAGAATTCATTTGGAGCCCAAGCTAAAAATCCCTTGTTTTTATTAAGTGGTAATGAACCTTTAATTAAAGAACTATTTTATGATGCTTCCATAATTAACAGTAATGATAATTTACATTTATATGGCACTTTAAAATCTACCAAATTTTTAATATATATTATTTATCTCATTTGAACCTTAAAACTTGTTGAGGTAGAAGTATAGGTATTGTTATCCCAATTTTACAGCTAGGAAAACTGAGACACAGAGGTTAAGTCCATGGGGAACTATTATCTAAGAAGCCAGGTCTACCTGACTTGGAATCTAGTACTCTATCCATCATACTATTTAGGCTATCTAGAGAGCAATGATTGCTAGTGAACAGGACAAAGGTAAGAAAAAAAAGTTCCACAGATACCTACTAGTTTCAGTCTGAAAATCTCGAAAACCATCAAATATTGAACGAGCAGGCCGCCGTCTTTTAGGAGCTACGGGGAAAAAAGAAGTAAATACTTAGCATCTGAATTTTTCATGAAATTAAATGCTAAAACTGTTTGATCTATAATTTTCTCATATCAATACACTCAACTATGACATGTTTGATAAATTATATCAGGAAAAAGATCTGTTAGTTTTGAGTCACAACCACAGAATTTCAGTGTCGAAAAGCAATCTCAGAAATCATCTAGTCCAACTCTTAATTAAAAAGGAATCTGACACACAACATATCTGACAAAAAAAGATCAGAATAGGACAAACATTGGCAGAAATTAGGCTTAGAAAAACATCTTACATCATATTCCACAAAAAATTCAAAAGAGATACCTGACCATCAACCCAAGGAAATTACCAGAGAAGCAAATCACATAACTACCACAGATATGGAGAGCAGATGGATTCTTACCAAGTAAAAGATAGAGGCAATTACAAAAGATAAAATGATCACTTTGATTACATGAAATTGATAAACTTTTGCACAAACCAAATTAATGTATCTAGAATAAGAAGCGGTCAACTGGAGGAAAAATCTTTTTTGCCCCATTTAATAGCATTTTATTTTTTCCAATTACATGCAAAGTTAGTTTTTTTTTTAACTTAATAGATGTTTACTGAATTGAATTGTTGAATCCATAAATTTATTAAGCATTCTGTGTATGGTTCTACCCAAGTCAACATTAAAAATGTTATTAAGATAAAAGGACCAAGGACAGATCTCTGAAATACTACTACAGAATTCCCTCCAGGGTGATGTGGACTCATTAATCAACATTCTTTGTTTACAATTGGTCAACCAGTTCCAAAACCACCTAAATACATATCTGTCCATTTTGTTCACAATGATATTGGAGAGATTTTATTAAATTCCCTCCTAAAGTGAAAGTATAATATGCTCATCACATTCCCTTAATATGATAGTCAAGTAATCCTGTCAAAAAAGTAAAGGAGATTACAAAAGTTAGTTTTCAACATTCACTTTTACATGATTGAGTTCCAAATTTTTTTCTCCCTTTCTCCCCTCCCCTCTCTCCAAAACAGTATGCAATCTGATAGAGGCTATACATGTACCATCATATTATATATATTTCCAGATTAGTCATGCTATGAAAGAATCAGAACAAAAGGGAAAAACCAAAAAAAGAGAAAGAAAATAGTATGCTTTGATCTACATTCAGACTCCATAGTTCTTTCATCATGAGTCCCTTGGAATTGTCTTAGATCAGAGATTCCCAAACTTATTTGGCTACCATCCCCTTTGCAAAAAAATAAATTACTGAGCGATTCTCTGGGGTTAGGTTAGTTAACCCTTATTTTTATTCAACACCCCCCAATTGCATCCAAGGCTACTACAGCCCAGCTACCCACCCCATCAACCCAACACCCCCAATGGGGCAGTATCACCCACTTTGTGAACTATGTTTTTAGATCACTGCCCTAGAGCTAAGTCATTCATAGTTGATCATCACACAATGTCCCTGTTAACTGTATACAATGTCCACCTGGCTCTGTTCATTTCACTTCACATCAGTTTGTGTAAGACTTTCCAGGTTTTTCTTACTCATAATTTCTTATAGCATAATAGTATTCTATTACATTCATATACCACAATTTGTTCAGCCATTCCAAATGATGGACATACCTTCAATCTCCAGTTCTTTGCCACCACAGAAAGAGCTGCTATAAATATTTTTGTAAGGGGTAGCTAGGTGGCACAGTGGATAGAGCACCGGCCCTGAAGTCAGGAGGACCTCAGTTCAAATTTGGCCTCAGACCAAATACTTGACACTTACTAGCTGTGTGATCCTGGGCAAGTCATTTAACCCTAATTGCCTTAAAATAAATAAATAAACAAATAGACAAATAAATGTTTTTGTGTGCGTGGGTCCTTTTCCTATATTTATGGTCTCTTTGGGATACAGACCTAGTAGTGGTATTGGTGGATCAAAGAGTTTTGTAGCCCTTTGGGCATATTTCCAAATTGCTCTCCAAAAAAAAAATCTTTTTATCAGATCCGATACAGGTTTGGTATCCAAGATATAGAAACAAAAACAATGTATAAGACACCAAAAGAAAATTCCAATAGATAATTAGTCAAAGGATATGAATAAACAGTTCTCAAAAGAATAACAAACTATTAATGACTACATGAAAGAATGCTGTAATCACTAATAGAAGAAATACAAATCAAAATAACACTGAGATTTCATCCCACACTCAATAAAATGGCAAAAGATGACAAAAGATGGGAATGGTCACTGCTGGACTGGTTGTGAAAACAGGCACACAAGTTCATTGTTGGTAGAACTGGGAATTAGCATAACCATTCTGGGAAGCAATGTGGAATTATGCAAATAAAGTATCTAAACCAAGGGTAGAGAACCTGTGAAATTTGAGTTATTAAGGGGATTTGATTCAGTAAAAGGGCTACACTTGAGAACGTAGAAGGTCACATGTGGTCTCGAGGCCCCAGATTCCCCACCCCTGAAAACCTTTGATGCAAAGGATTGATTGTTAAGTATAGACCTCAAACAGGCCAATGATAAAAAGAAAAGACCAATATACATCAACATATTTATAACAGTACTTTTTGTAGTAGCAAAGAACTCGAAACAAAGTTAGGGAATGGCTAAACAATTTGTGTTAAACAAATGTAAAAGAATATTCTTGGGTTCTAAGGAAACAATGAACATGATGAACACAGAGAAGTATGGAAAGACTTACTTGAATTAATATTAAGTGAAAACACTATGAGGCAGCCAAGCAGCTGTTTAGATAAAGGTTTTTGACTTAGGTGTCTACTTATTCATAGACTCATTTTCATTATAGGGTAATAACAATTATTTTTAAAAACTTTTTTCTTTTGGCACTCAAAATTAAATACTAGCTTTAACATCTTATTCATAACTCACTGAAGTAGAATAGTACAAATAGAATTTAAAGTGCATGATTAATTATCCAGTTCTCACAAAAACCCTCTAGATGAACCTTCATACTTCCTATAATTTTTGTATAATACAGAGCAAAACAATGAAGCCAGATAAATCCTAAGAAAGAATAGGAAACTTACCACCAAATAAGGGCTCTGGTTCTACTAATATTTCCTGCTTTTGAGGAATTGGAGCTCGTACTTCATCTCTACAAAAAAAGCAGAGAAAATGATATGAATGTAATGTAATATTATTGTTCTGCAAGAAATAAAGGGCATGAAAAATGTAGAGAAGCATGGAAAGACTTAACTGATGTAAAATGAAGCAGAGCCAAGAAAACATATACATCTTATATGGTAACATAAATGTAAAGAACAATAACAAAACAATTGAAAATTAATTATCAAATTATAAAGAGCAAGCATATTCCCAAAGAAAAGATATGAAAAGATACCTCCCTCCTCACTACTTCTTTGTAGATGTAGGAGACCATAAGTGTAGACCACTGCATTTAATGTTAGAGTTTTTCACTAAACATGTTCATTTTGTTGAACTTATTGCCTGTTTTATTCTTTAGAATTTTTTTTAAGGAAAAAAAAGAGGACCAAAGGGAATATAACACAACAGAGATAGCCAATTAGACACTGGTTGCCTCTCATCATGAATGTAGTGAAATCAGTCAGGACATAACTAACAGGCTGAGGAGAGGAGAATCCTGGGGATTTGAACTGTCATATATATATGGAGACTAGATAACTAAACTGAAGCCAGAAATGGGAATAGAGATAAAGTTTTCAGATCTTGTTGGGGTTGGAAAATCAATACTTATGAGACTGGGATTGAAATAGGCAGAGCCATGAACTTTGTGTAGAAAAATGACTCGTTTTAAAACTGGGCTCTCCTGATCATAATGGGCCTGAAATAAACAGAACCACAAGAACAATGTACACAATGACTATAATAATATAAAGCAAAACAAACTTGAAAGACTTCAGAACTCTAAAAAACTAATAATTAATGGTTCTTGTCATTCAGTGAAGTGCAGATGAAACATACATTCTCAGATGTGACCAACGTGTTGCTCTGTTTTATGTGACTACACTTGTTACAGGGGAGAGCTTCTATAAGGTAGTGGGGAGGGGAGAATTAGTGGGAGGTGACAGAATGTTGGCATTACAATAATAGTTCCTGGCTACAAAGAAGAAATAAAAAAAGACATCTCCCCACACTTCTTTGCAGCAGTCAGTGTGAACACGGCATACAACATTAAACTTTTCTTTCTGATGGTTGATTTTGCTAACTTTTTTCCTTCCTCTTTTTTTAGTCTTAAATATAAAGAATGGCTCTCTAAGAGAGAGTAAAGTATACAGCGATGTAGGTGATATAAAAACAAAAAAAAATCAATAAAATCCTTTATTTTTTTGAACTTATTTTGACACTTTTCTTGAGTTGCAAATGAACATAATTTTTTCTTTAAAACAAAAGGAAAGAGATTTTTTTAACCAGCTGTATAACAACTTTAGTTAAGTGTGTATGTTTGCTGCTTTTCTGAAGGCAAAAAGTTAGCATTTTTAAGTCTTGAATGAAGGCTTTCCCTGAATTTGTGCAGGTCCTATTTGACAATATCTAAACAACCCAGTCTCAGCAAACAGAGGATTAACAAAGAAACCAAATATTTAGGGGCCAGAAGTTTGGATATTATGAAGAATCTTTCCTACTTTTTTTAAAATTATTTTTTTTTAGATTTCAACAATCACTTCCATATGCTTTTGAGTTTTAAATTTTCTCACCCTCCTTCTCCACTCCCCCCACCCCCGGAAGATGGCGTGCAATCTGATATAGGCTCTACATATACATTCCTATTAAACATATTTTCACATAAGTCATGTTGTAAAGAAGAATTAGAACCAACAGGAGGAACTACAAGAAAGAAGAAACAAAACAGAAGGAAAAAAAAGAGCAAACAGTATGCTTAAATCTGCATTCTAACTCCATAATTCTTTCTGGGATATGGATAGCATTTTCCATCATAAGACTTTTGGAGGTGTCTTAGATCCTTGCATTGCTGAGAAGGGCTAAGTCTATTAATGTTAGTCATCATACAACATGGCTGTTCCTGTGTACAGCATTCTCCTGGTTCTGCTCACTTCACTCAGCATCAGTCCATACAAGTCTTTCCAGGTTTTTCTGAAGTCCACTTGTTCATCATTTCTTATAGCACAACAGTATTCCATTACAGTCATATACCACAACTTGATCAGCCACTCCCCAATTGATGGGCATCCCCTCAATTTCCAACTCTTTGCCACCACAGAAAGAGCAGCTATAAATATTTTTGTACATGTGAGTCCTTTTCCCATTTGTATGATCTCTGTGGGATACAACTCTACAGGTGCTATTGCTGTGTCAAAGGGTATGCACATTTTTATAGCCCTTTGGGCATAGTTCCAAATTGCTCTCCAAAATGGCTGGATCAGTTCACAACTCCACCAACAATGCATTAGTGCTCCAATTTTCCCACATCTCCAACATTTATCATTTTCCTGTTTTTTTCATGTTGGCCAATCTGACAGGTGTGATGTGGTACCTCAGAGTTGTTTTGATTTGCATTTCTCTAATCAATAACGATTTAGAGCATTTTTTCATATGACTATAGATGGCTTTAATTTCTTCATCTGAGAACTGCCTGTTCATATCCTTTGACCATTTATCAATTAGGGAATGGTTTGTATTACAAATTTGACTTAATTCTCTATATATTTTAGAAATGAGGCCCTTATCAGAGAAACTAGTTGTAAAAATTCTTTCCCAATTTTCTACCTTCCTTCTAATCTTAGTTGCGTTGGCTTTGTGCAAAAACTTTTCAATTTAATGTAATCAAAATTATCCATTTTGCATTTCATAATGTTCTCTATCTCGTTTGGTCATGAATTCTTCTGTTCTCCATAAATCTGACAGGTAAACTATTCCTTGTTCTCCCAGTTTGCTTACAGTATCAGGGCTTTATATCTAAATCATGAGCCCACTTTGACTTTATTTTGGTATATGGTCTAATATTTTGGTCTCTGCCTAGTTTCTGCCATACTCTTTTCCAGTTTTCCCAGCAGTTTTTGTCAAAGAGTGAGTTCTTATCCCAGAAGCTGGGGTGTTTGGGTTTAAAATGTATTTTTAAAAATACCAAAAAGGGCATCAATAAAAATTTTTAAATACATAGAAAAAAAATACAGAAGGGAATACAAATAGGACAATTTTATTGTTTCCATCTCCTTAAATTTAATATAGTTTAAAATAGCATGTACTGAACAATCCTTTTTTGATGTTCTTTGTATAATATAATGTCTGAATCTGTGATTAAATTTATAATAAAAAAAAATTTCCAATGGTGAGGCCCCATATTGAACTCAGAATAAACTCTTCCAAAACGCAAACATCAGGGGCAGCTAGGTGGTGCAGTGGATAGAGCAGCGGCCCTGGAGTCAGAAGGACCCGAGTTCAAATCTGATGTCAGACCACACTTGATAAAGCTGTGTGACCCTAGGCAAGTCATTTAACCCCAACTGCCTCGCAAAAAAATAAAAATTTTTAAAAAAATGCAAACATCAAATAGCCATTGGAGAACCTAAAATAGATTGGAAAAAGTCATTAAACCAATGAAGAAAAATAGGCTGCACAGAAATTATTCATGGGCATGGTTGTGTCTCTACCACAATTTAATTTTTTTTTTGTTGACCAAACAAAAAGATACATAAAATGAAAGTACCCAGGGAAGAAAATTGTCTGTGTAGATAGATCTTCCCCAGTTCGTCTGGGGGACTTTTTAGCAAATTTTACAGAAGCTGAAATCCTGACGTGATTCCAGCTATTTTTCTCCATTCTTTTGGCTGTTTAGTTGTTTTCAGTCATGGCTGATTCTTCATGACTCCATTTGGGATTTTCTTGGCAAAGATACTGGAGTAGCTGGCCATTTCCTTCTCCAGCTCATTTTAAAAATGAGGAAACTGAGGCAAACAGGGTTAAATGACTTGTCCAGGGTCACACAGCTAAGTGTCTAAAGCCAGATTTGAACTCAGGAAGACTCATCTTCCTGACCCCAGGCCTCTCTATCCACAGCACCACCTAGCTGCCCTTTCTCCACTCTACCTCACTGAGCACCAAATTTGGTAGTCTTTTAGAGGAATTTGGTGCCCTTTCTGGCAAATGACTATTATGTAAACTTCTACAGTACAGCATTAAGTTGGTGTGCACCTGTGTATAGTCAAATGAATGTATTTCAAACTATAGCTTAAATGTACTGATACATGCCAAAGTTATTTCTTCAAAGTATAGTTATATAATCATAAACACATCACACACACTTATATTGATAAGTCCCAAATGGAGATGTATTTTATATGTATAAAATTAAAATAAATTATTAAATATAGACTTAGATTTTAAAAGGTCACACTACAAATACAAAATGGAAGAGGTTTTACATAAATAAAACCAACAGAGGTAGAGTTAACTGGGGGAAAAATCTTTGTAGCAGGTTTCTCTGATAAAGGGTTCACTTCAAAGACATATGAAGAATTGATTCAAATTTATAAGAATAAAAGTAAGTGGTAAAAGGATATGAAGAGATAGTTTTCAAAGGAAGGAATCAGCCATATGAAGAAATGTACCAAACTGTTAATAATTAGAGAAATGCAAATTACAGCACTTTATACCGATCAGACTGGCAGATGACAAAAAAGGAAATGACAAACGTTGGAGGGGTTTTAGGGAAACAGGAACATTAATTCACTGTTGGTGGATGTATGAACTGGCACAACCATTCTGTAAGGCAATTTGGAGCTATGTCCAAAAAGTCACTAACCAGTGACCTAGAGATACCAGCATTAGTTGTGTACCTCAAACAGATCAGTAGGGGAAAAGGACCAAATGTACCAAGACATTTAAAGCAGTACTTTTTTGTAGCAAAGAACTGGAAATAAAGTCATTGCCCATTAAATCTGAAAAAGGCTAAGGAAAAAATGGTGTATGAATATAACAGAATATAACAATGCCATAAGAAATGACAAAAGGGATAGATTCAGAGAACTATGGTACATTTTATATGAAATGATACAGAATGAAGTGAGCAGAACCAGAAGTCCAATTTATATAATGGCAAAAAAACACTGTGAAGGAAAACAACTTTTAAAGACTTAATAACTCCCAATAATGATTGATGATTATGCATGTTTCTCATAGCTTGGCAGAGGTCTGATAGACTGGCTTGAGATACAGAATGATACCATCTCAGACCTGACCCAATTGTGTGCATTTATTTTGCTTGATTACACTTTCTTATCATAAGAGAGGGCTTTCTTTTATTTTTTGGGGGGAAAGAACAACAATGATGTTAACAAAAAGAAAAGAGAATCAATGAAAGGAGGTCAGAAAAAAGTACAGAAGGGGACTCAGCCAAGCAAGGCAGTGTGTGCAGTACTATTGGATAAATTTAATATATACTTTTTACAAAGTTGTGTGTAATAAGATATGGTTTCATATATAATTCTTTTTCTGTTCTTTGCATATGGAAACTTATGTTTGCCAAGTGCATAATTAAAAAACCCAAATAATAACGACAAAGGAAAAAAGAAACTATGGCAAAAACAAAAAGTGGCACTTCAATAAAACTTTTCAACTGTAAGAGAGAATTCACAAGAAAAATTTGAGAGTTCAAGTTGACTATAAGTTCTGCACGAGTTAACAGTTACATCCAGAATAACAAACCCAATACACTCTTTTAATCAGATCACATGTAAAATATACTTCTGAATTCTGCGTGACATTTTAAGAGGATCACGGACAAAAGATATTGTCAAGAGAAACAGACAGCCCCCACAGTAAGAAGTCTATAAACCACATCATAATAACTAATAACTGAGTATCTGGGGATGTTTAGCCTAAAGGTACACAAAACTTTGGGTTCACAACAGATGTTTTTTTCCTCTGGCTCCAGAGGGGTGAAAATTATAAGAAGGCAGAATTCAAATCACTACGAGGATGTTTCTTACATTCTGACCAATTCTAAAATGGAATGTTACAAAAGGTAGCTATAGTAGTTAAGGTCCTCATCATAGAGATTTCTAAGCAGAGGCTAGCCACTTGTCAGGGAATTTCTGCACTGGGTAGGAGACAATATCCAAGAAGATAATCAGTGATGAAAACCAAGGATTCAGAAATTTATAAACAAATGAACGGGGTATGTGGTTTAAAAAAAAAAAGGTAAAACTCAAGACAGTAATTAAAAAGTAGCCAAATTCTACCTTACAGGTATCACATACTTGGTGAGATATGATTCATGACTAAATACGACTATGAAAGTATATGCCTTGAAGGGGCAAAAGAGTAGCATTTTATATAATTAAAAAGACATACCTACATAAGGATATCCACAAACTAGAAAGAAATAGTGGAGTACTGGGTAAGAATCAATGGAAGAAGAAACAGGAAGTAATATTGTGGTGAAACTGTATGTATTATAGAGACTGAGTTAATAGGAAGCCACAGGTAACAGCTCCAGGAAAAAAGTCATGTACTTGGAACAGAGGTATAACAGTAGTAAAGGGGAACATCAGCTAAGAGATTATCTACTAGAGTCCCTTCTCTATGAATATCCTAGCATCTAAAAACGGACTTACTGTAATGACCGTTTCGTTCTTCAAGAAGCAGCAATGGAGAAACTGCTATCCTGGATCTGCTTCTAACCAATAAGGAGGACATGGATGCTAAAGATAAAATGCTGCAAACCTTGAGAGAGAACCACCATGCCAGCTTCAGACACAAGAAGGGAGTGCTGAGCATAATCTCATATGTACCCTAAATTGTGGGTGCAGGTAGATGACAAAGAGTTCAGTGAAAGGAAAACAGAATCCCATTACTTAATACTCTACAGGGGAAGTTAGTGCAAGAGGGATACTCTCAACAATGAATTTAACAACAAATTCCATTAATATCAATGAGGAAGAAAAGAAGAATCTATGAAAGACTTATGTGGCTACACAGGTCAAGTCATCAACTTGAGATTTTTTTAATAGAAATATACATGAAATGGAAGCAAGTGATAGTAACTGAAGTTATCACAGTCCTCTAAAAACAGCGTAAGCTTCCCAAACTTCAAAACATATTGCAAAATGATTATCACTCAAAACAATATCACACTGAACAAAAAAACAAAGAGAAATAGAACAATGAAACAGAATACACCAGACAAAACCAAATAGATATAAAATAGATAGACCTATGGAAAATACCTGGGGAAAGGATTATTTAACAAATGTACTTTGGAAAAGAGATTGGAAGCTGCAGGTTATGGATTTAGATTCATACCTTATACTATAATACACCTGCAAATTTCAGCTAGAGGATAGACAAACAAAAATAAAAGGTGTAAGAATGTGTTTTTTGGAATTGTGGAGATGATATGACTTTTCTATTAAAAAAGGTTGAGGATAAATGCACTTGACTAAATTGGTTTTTTTTGAGGTCAGGCAATTGGGGTTAACTGACTTGTCCAGAGTCACATAGCTAGTGTCAAGTGTCTGAGGCCGGATTTGAACTCAGGTCCTCCTGACTCCAAGGCCAAAGCTCTATCCACTGCGCCACCTAGCTGCCCTTCTTGACTAAATTAAAATAAAGCATCTCTACACACACCAAAAAAACCAATTCAAAGAAAAATAGATTAGGGAAATAATTATGGCTAACATGACATTCAAAAAAATGATATCTGAAATATATGAGGAACTACTAAAAACTCATGAAAGTAATGCCCAATTCAAAATAGATAAATAAAAAGGATACAACAACAAATTTCAAAAGAAAAATACAAATCGTTAATAATTACTTGGAAAAAAAGTTTAACATTATTTATAATCAAAAGAATGGAAATTAAAACTACTTTGAGGGATAATTTCACATTCACAAATTGACAAGATTATAAGCAATGAAATTCAATTTTAGTGGGATTGTGGAGAATCAGGTACAGTCATCCATTACTGACAGAATTATAAATTTGTTTGACCTTTCTGTAAAAACATTTAGCAGGGTGCAATAAAAGTTACAATAACAATCATTATCAAAATTATTAACAATAAAGTATTAAGATTTTTGGAAATGGAATCATATTATTCATTTCCATTACAGAAGTATAGATAAGCTCTCTTAGGAAAAAAAAGTTAAGCCCCCAAATGATACAGAACACACCTTAAAATATGGCAATCACTTTAAAATAATCATATACTTTGAACTCTATAAAAATAATCACAAAGTACAACAATTATACTGAAACAAAATACTGCGGCTGGAGACTGGGACTCTATAATCTATTTTAAAAAAAAAAGACAGCTTGTGGCCTGGCCCTTTAAATTCAGTCTATGGCTTATTTCTAACTCAGAACATTTTTTTAAAAAATTTAAAATTTTAACGGTTCTTTTAAAGATATACTAATGCCTTTCCCCCTCACATTGCTACCATTTCTCAAGAACCACCATCCCTCCACTAATAGCACTGAACACGCCCTTGTAACAAATACACATAGGTACCAATGTATACCTCAAACCACACCTATAGTCCAATGCCTTGCAAACTTGAGTCATGCATCACTGTCAGTACTCTGGAGTCAAGATTATTCAGTGCAATGGTTGGTGTCATTCAAGTTTGGGTTTCTTTCACATCAATGTAGTCATTTGGTAAATTCTGCTCATAGTTTTACTTATTTTTTTGCTTCAGTTCATGCATGTCTTCCAAAGTTCTCTAAAACTTTTCACTTCTGTTATTTCTTACAGCACATATTCCATTATACACTGACACAACAATCTGTCATCCATTTCTCAATTTATGAGCACCTGCTTTGTTTCTAGTTTTTTGCTACCACAAGAAGTACTGCAACAATATCTTTTACTATCTCTGATGTTCTTGGGAACATATGTAGCTCTTCCTGTTAACAAAGCTACAATTATATCTCAAGCATTTAACAACTTTTTATAAGGTTATTAGTCACTATGATGAGTATCATTAACAATACAATTCTTTCCAGATATCTAATTTTATAAAGAAATTTTTCTTACATAAGAAAAAGTCAATCAAATTTATTCAGGTTATGGAGCAAAGAATTGGATGTTCTCAATTCTTATCCCAACTGTCAGTTAACAGGCCATGTAAATTCAGATATGTCACTTGGCCTCTATGTACCTGTTCCCACATTCATAAAATATAGATCAACTTGCCCTAGATGGTTACTGGAGTAAAATCATGGTGGGGAAAAACTGTTCCTTAAAGTATTACTATTACTTGCAAATGTTTTCTTTTGATATAGGACTTTTAAGGTGTTTGCTTCCTGACCAAAAAAGATGATAACTTAAGTAAGTAATTCTCCTAAAAATACAACTCTTAAATTAGAAAAAAATCCATAACAATGAGGGAAAAAAAAAGACATACTCTGTGTGTGGCCTGACAGAAGATACACTGGCTGAACTGGTACTAGGCTCTTCAGCTATTCCTCCACCATCCAAAAACATTGTGACAGCCATCTCCAGGTTATTGTTGCAGGCTTCAAGCATATGTTTCCCCACACTTTCACTTGCACCTTTAAAAAAAGGGGGGGGCAGAGAAAAAAAAAGTCAAAGACAAAGACAAATATTTACATTAAGTATGTACTTATATAATACAAAAGTCACTAGTAACTCGGAATATTTTTACATTTTGTATGGTTGTCTGTCCTTCCCCCATACCTAAAGTTTAGAAGTTTGCATTTCTAAACTTTATTTGTGGGCAGCTAGATGTAAAACAAAGATTAGAGGATGAGGTATAATTAAAAATAAAAGCAGTCTTCCTATGGAAAGACTTATATAAACTGATACAAAGTGAAATAAGCAGAACTTGGAAAGTAACAAACACAATGAAAACAATGTAAAACTGAAACTAAATGTTGTGAAATTATAATGACCCAGCCTGTCCTCAAAGAGACAAGGAGAAAATGCCTCCCACTAACTCTTTTGCAGAGAGATGGGATTCCACAAGTGGACCTCTGAAGTGTAGAATATGTCAAGCAGAATAGGGTGAGAAAGACATTCAAAAGTAGGTTGAAGGGCCTTGATTTCTAAGCTAAGGAATTCGGATTTTATTTACAGGCAACTGGGTAGTGTTGAAAGTTACAAAGAGTGAATTTATGTAATCAGGCCTATCTATGTATGCATTATGTATATGGAATATTAATCTGGATAATGGACAAAGGATGAAAGTAGTAAGTAAAATTGTGGGGGTCCTGCAATAATACAGAATAGGGTAGCTCTGGGAAGGAAAAGGAATAGATGGACATTCAAGGTCTTACGTAGAATTTATTGGATTTGACAACTAATTGGGTATATTGGATTAAGTCAATCTCACGTTTCCAGCAGGGACGACTGCAGTAAAATAGATAAATGCTTACAAAACCCAGTTGCTACCTTCATGGAAGATGTCCATCAAAGGATCCAGAAAAGGAGTTGTGTAGAGGCAATATGGTCCAGAAGTTCCTATTTGTGGACCTTCCAACTCCAGAATATTACAGAGCCTCTTAAATGAGATCCACAACCACTAAAAAGTTCAGACTAATGATCCACATAAGAAAAAAAAAACAGAAAAAATTGAAGAACACTTATTGTCCAGGCCAAGATAAAGAGCTGTATGAACAACCCATTGAGTTTGTCCAAGAAAATTTATCTCTTAGGCAAACTATGAGCAGATGGACAATGAGCTAGGTTGTTCTTGGAATATGTGAAGTACTTCACACTTCATGTCAAAGTACCAATAAAATATTTCAAAAATAAAAATGTACAGCCCTTTCAACTATACCAGATTATTTCCTGAAACAAGAACCCTTATACCTAATGGAAGCCTTCCTGTGATGTTACATAGTTGTGAATCATAGAACATTACAATCTCTGAGGAATGAAATTTACATACAACAATGAAGAAATGTGTGACAAACACAAATACGCTGCAGCATGTTACCAGTGATGACAATGCATATGGTGCCATAAAATGCATCACCCAAGAGAGCTGTCACCAGAAAACAAGGTGGTCTGATCACATAATAAGGAGAAATAACAGATGGCCTGAGTGTTGCAATGGTTACTCATATAATGTTTTGTTTTTATAAAGATTATGGATATCTTATGGATAAAAGTTGCACAGGATGAAAAGGTCTGAATGGGTTGCCATTGCAGGGAGTACCCACATCAATTAGGTCACAGGTCCAATTAAAATGAGGTATGCAAACTCATAAGTCAGAAAGGATTTTCAATTAAACTAAAGCTATCATATCTCCACACAAAAAGAAAGATGAAGCTGTGACATAGCTTACTAGCACTGATCAGGTACCAGATTAGTGTTCTTAAAATCCTGGCTGGAGTTTCAATTTACTTAATAAACAGCAGTAAATAATTTTTGTACTTTTTTTAAAAATCCAGTTTTTCATAATTTTCATAAAATTTCATTGAGGAAAACTTAGTCATCCAGGAGCCAAGTAAATCAAAGTCTTTTTTGTTAATTTTTAAATTTTTTTAATCAAGGTCTTAATTCCCAAATCTGTTCCTCTTTCTACTAGATCATGCTATCTCTAAACAACAATATTAAATTCTCTTGTGAGAAATTATTAACTGTAGTTTCTAAAGCAAAGTATAATTTTGATCCTCTGTATAATTACTGAAGATTTACATGGACAAATTAATTTACAATATGAACCAAAAGTTTTATTTTATCAAAGTGCTTCAACTTTCATGACATCTAGCCTTTACAACTACCCCCAATTAGAAAATCAGTTCCTGGAAAGAAGGATCTGGAAAGTAATTTTTGTAGATGGTGTTCAAGAAGCATTTGGTTTCTGATGGCCTCATGAGGATTATAAAGAATGTTTTTGGAAGACCTACAAATCTAATTATGAGATCTCTAAAACTGAATGGGAAGGGAGGAGACGGAAGACATATAACCCAGATAAAGTTACAAAACTAGAGAATATGAAAAATACAAACATGTTTAACAAAGAAAAAAAGCAGCATAGTAGAATACCAAGTAACAAGGTCATGTAATTCTCAAGTGAAAATAGGGAAGTAGTTAGATCATCTATGGGCATGTGTTTATACATGAAGACAGTACTGATGACAGAATAAACAAAATTTTTACATAGAGTAAAAATGATCTCATGGGGCAGCTAGGTAGCACAGTGGATACAGCTCTGGCCTTGGAGTCGGGAAGACCTGAGTTCAAATTCGGCCTCAGACACTTGGCATTTACTAGCTGTGTGACCCTGGGCAAGTTACTTAACCCCAATTGCCTCACTAAAAAAAAAAAAGTCTCATGAAAGTGTCACAGACTCTGTGGAAGGACACATGGTGGTAGCCATGGAAGTATAAAACTTAAGCATCTTCATGACTGAGGCTTAGCCACTTAATCTCTCTGAATCTCAGTTTTCTCATCTATCAAACGAAAACAAAAATACCTAGAATGTCTACCCTCAAATTATGTAAAGTGCTTTTGTAAACTTTAAAATATTAAATAAATGCCAACCACTACTATTACTGTACTTTGTTAAGAAGAAACAGAATGAATACCTGGGAATGGGAAGCCACGTGCCTAAGGGTTAAAGTTTGGTTAAGGAGAAAAGGAGAATAGACATTGCTATGAAAGCACACTTTAGACCTACCAAACAAATGATGACTACAGATGTAACTCTTAAAAGAATAAAACTGGCACAAAGACAAGGAAGCCAGAGGATTTACTAACTGAGAAGGGAGGACAATTCTTCGTAACTGCTAGAAATACAATTCTGCAAAAAAAAAGAGTGCATCTAATCCATTTTCAATTTGCCTGGATAACAATTTTATCTTTCAAAGAGTAGAGAAAACTAAAAAAGAAACTGCTATTTTGTACTTAATTAAAACTAACAAGGATGTGGCAAGCAGAGACATTCTAACAGTTTATAACCCTCCATCCTATGAGTCTCAATCTCTATCTTTTCTCTGACTCCATTACTGAACTGACTTGGAGCCCTCATCTCTAACTACTGTCTGCTATTTTGGTGCCTTCTCTCAAATCACACTATTGTTTGAGGAGGTAAATTCCATCACAATAATAATCCTACAAGTCTAGCTGGAAGCACAAGAAAATCCTATCCCAAAAAACCACACATTTTAGAAAGAAATCCCAGTTACCCAGGGTCGGTGGTATTCTCAACTCCTTTCTCTCATACTCCATATATCCAATCTGTTGCCAAGTCTGTCATTTCTACCTCCACATCTCTACCATAGACCCTTTTTCTCAACCCTCAGAGACCACCCTTGTTCAGGCTTTCATCATCTCACAGTAGACTACTGCTACGACCCTTCTGGTTGGTCTCCCTGCTTCAAGTCTCTCCCCACTTCAGTACTTCTTCCATTCAGTTGTCAAAATAATATTCCTAAAGCACAGAAATGACCGCGTTATTCTACCCCATTCCATAAACTCCAATGGCTCCCTATTAACTCCAGGATCAAATACAAAATCTTCATTCTTAAAGCCCTTCAACAACCAATAGCATTCCAAGTCTACTTGGAAGCACTTCTTACCTTTCCAGTCTTCTTACATTTTATTCTCCCACATGGAAGAGCCAGCCACATTGACCTACTTGCTGTTTCTTACATAAAATGCTCCATCTTCATGTCTTTTCAATTGGCTGCTCCCTGAATGCTCTCTCTCTCCTCACCTCTGCCTCTTGGCTTCTTTCAAGACTCAACTCACAATTCCACCTTCTATATGACACCTTTCCCAGTCTCACCCTCTGTTTCTGCCTACCCAAATGGTAGTAGTATCTCTCCTCTGAGATTATCTTCCATTTATTTTCTATACATCTTCTATGTACATCATTGTTTATATATTTCCATCATTAGAAAAGTGAGTTCCTTGTGGGCAAGAAACATGTTTTTGCCTTTTTTTTTTTGTTCTCCCTACTGCTTGCTTAACACAGTGCCTGGCACACAGCAGTGCTTAAATAAATACTTGCTATCTAAAATGTCTTCAATCCCTCTGCTTATTTTCCTCTGTGATCCAAAGACTCATGCTGCTTTCAGAATAATCTGCCCCTTATGCACGGATCTGATCATGTCACTCTTCTGCTCAATTCTTGTGATGGCTACCTAATGCCTACTAGTTATCATCAAGTACCTCTACCTTGCGTTCAAGGACCTTCACTATTGTGTATCATGCTATCTCATGTTATTCATAGAAAGTCTGGCACAGGAGATAGGACAAAGGATTGAAAGCCAGAAAGACCTGGGTTCAAATCCTGCCTTTGACAATATCTGTGTGATCATGGATTTAACTACTTAACCTCTCTGAATCAGTTTCCTCATCTAGGAAAAAAAAATGGGATAATAACTGTAGTTATCTCCCAAGGTTGTTTTGAGGCTCAGGATAACATATATAAAGCAGTGTTCAAGTTTCTGAGTAGTATATAAAGTCAGTTATTATTAGTATTACTTCTCTGTACATTTCAAACTGAACTCTGCTCCTTAAATATACCCTTCACTTTCATACCCCCTGCCTTTGCTCAAAATATTACTCAGAATAAGC